GGGGGGGGGGGGGTTGTCAATGATTTATCCTTGAATTGAGAGACTTCAATTATTTATTTAAATATTTGATTTGCTATTTGTTTTAAGTATTTGTTTATATAAGTTTTTGTTTTTGAGTTCAGTCATTTAAAAACACACATTTGAGAAATAAATGTGCAGCATTTGAGAAATAATAAAACCACACTGTTCATTCATAAAGTCCTGCACACTGTAAAAAAAATCCTGGTTGCCTTAATTTTTAGTTATGCAAGCTGTATTAAGTAACAGTTTAACATGATATAAATTCAATGAACCCATAAATTTAATTTGATTCAGCTTAAAAAAATAAGTTAGAACATTAACTTTTAATCGTTTAATAATATTTTAAAATGCTAAACTTTTAATGTTTTATAAGTTACAATAAACTTATAAAAACATAAAAAACATTAAAAATTGTCAGGACTAATTTATCATATAAATTTTTACAGTGTTTTACAGTGTAGTCAATGGTTACAGGTTTTCAGCATTCCTCAAAATATCTTCTTTAGTGTTCAACAGAAGAAAGAAACTCATGAAGGTTTGGAACCACTTAAGGCAAAGTAAATGTAAGTAAATAGTGAGTAAATGTAAATATTAGGGTCTACTATATTTATAACTCCTCCACCTACCTGCAGGTCTGTGATGGACACACGATGTGACTCCACGGTTGGTCTGCGAGGGAGACGTGGAGAAGAGTGAGGAGAAGTGATCGGCGAGTAGGGAAGTGATGGGTAAATATACCGTCCGTTGAGCCCCGGCGACCCACAGGGCGATGAAAGCGTCTGCGAGCGCTCCTGTAGCGACAGCTTCCTATCGGACAGGCTGAGTCTCCCTCTGTGCTCTGGCGGCTCTGGGAAAAGGGCTTCCGGTCGGCCAATCGTATGCGAAAGCAGATCACAGGAGGCCATACGGAAGGGCGGTACGGGACCTGATGACGTAGGCTCCGGTGTTTCGGAACTGTCCATGTCCTCCACCTCCTCCTCCTCTCCGCCCTCCTGCCCTGAGCCTCCGCTGGGCTCGTACTCCGTCACCACGATCATAGACTCCATCTCGGCGGTGCAAGGGCTCAGGCGCACGGATGGGGAAGGGAGCAGAACGCAGCTCCGCAGAAGGTCGGGCAGTGGCTGATTGGGTGGATGTAGCGGGGGACTGGGTGGAGCATGGCTGAGAGCGGCAGGGGGATCAGAAGAGGGCCAGGAGGAGACACAGGGAAACATAGTGTCCTTCCCAAACACCTCTCAACGGCCCCTCCATCAACGCCTGGGAACCAAAACAGAGTTGAGAAATGTTAGGTGTCACGTACGCTGAAAACAAATAACTCATTGGATTTACAACATTTTTCCAATGTAAGTGGTTGCATACAAGGTATATGGGCTAATTCAATTCAAACTAATTCCATTTAGTAATGTTCAATTTAATTTGTTCAGCCTATATACATTGCTTGCAACCACTTACCTTAGAAAAATGTTCTAAATCCCATGATTTTTTTTTAGTGTAGGATTAAGCTTAACGGGCATTGCAATATTTCATTTTTTTGCGATATATATTCCGATATTAAGTATAATTTTTTTAAAGATGAAATGAATAGCTCTAGTTTGAAAGAACAAATATATTTAGGACAAATGTGCATGATAATAGTATGACTTTGTTTTGGAATGCATCTGCATAAAATGTAATAAACCAAATCACAAACAATGACAAATACAGTAAAGCAAAGTTACAATTGAAATAAATGCTTTATGGTTTTTCTGTGACCTTAACAGTATTCAGGCACACAAATCGAATAATTAAATTTAAAACACATGCAAATACTCTTTCTTTTTTTGGTAACTTTATGGGTGAACTTTGCAATTACTCCACAATCGTGTGTTTTCAACTCCTACTCAACTATAACCCTGACTCAACATTGCCAATCCTGCGATATGCATATTGCGATATCGATGTTGAAATGATATATCGAAATCATATATTGTAAAGGGATATAGTTCACTAAACAAATGACAGTTTCCTCTCCTCACCCATATTTTAAGGTGGTTCCAAAATGCACCATATAAATGAGCAATATCACAAGAGTAGCAGTGCGTTTTAGCTGTATAATGGCACTGGTGGGAGGCATGCATCCATGCCTTATGTCCCACCGGTGATGATATACAGCCACACCTCACTGCTACTCGTGTGATATTGCATATATACATAAGTTGATGGTCAAATCATGTGCATAAAAAAAAGAAAATCAAAAACAGAGAGTCTAAAAAACTTTTGTATGAGGAACTACTTTCTTCTGCCGTTCATTCATATCTGCAGCTGGTCAGAACAGCAGAAACTATTGCTACTAAGTAGTAGTATTTGAATGATTCTCTAGTGTAATATCTAAAGTGATGGCAAAACAGGTGATTTTGCTGACATTATAAGATTATGAGGCTGAACAGCTTGAAAAGCCATCAGTCTACTGAGATTTCCCAGAATTTCTGTTGCAATCAGGATATCACAATAATTAACTCCGAAAAAGCTGAAGCAGCGGAATCACTACCAGATTACTGTTGTGTTTGCGATAAGGAAAACTGTTAAACACATGTGGGCATTTCTTCTTTTTTATTTTTATTGAACTAGTCTGTGGTAACGAAACCAACCAAAAAGTAACTCAGGGTTATACAAAGAGTGGCCAACACACAGTACATACATTCCTGATATGTGAGTCCCATCTCACACTCAACACACTGCGATTACTATGGTATAAATACAGCACCGCAAAATACGAGAGAGATCGACTTAGAATGTCACTTACCAGATTTATGATTTGATCAGCTGTAGTTTGTAGTTTTACGCTGAATTTTTTCCCTCTAAGGGCTTATCATGTGGTTTCTGTTGCCGTTTTGTGGATGGACAACGTCAACTGTCTTTGCTCTGCTACAAATCAACTATTCTCTCCTAAAAAAAGACTCAAAAGTACATTATATTGTCCAACAGCTGCAATATTTGTCAAACTGTAGTCATCTGCTTGGGCGGAGTAATACACAAGAGTGAAAAGGCTGTACGAGTTCTGATATTGCAGAATATCGCACGGCTATCAGCCAATCAGATTTAAGAACCAGACAGAACTGTTGTAAAAATATATATTATTAAGATATTAAATAATTTACAAATAACTTTGAACCATTTGAAAGTTTTAAATTATCTGATATGTACTACTGTTAAATAAACATGTATTTATGAATATTATTAATTTTTTGACATTGCTTTTTATAGAGAGCAAATTCTGTCTATTCACAATACACACATTTTTACACTGTGTTTAAGTAGTTCTTGTGAAATTTTTATTATTTAAATATATACCCCACGAGGGGAATATTCTGAAATTACGTTTAGCTTTATGCTGTATGCGCTATGTACACAACATTGGTTGTCTGTGTATAAAGCTGGATTTATATTTGCGCCTGGAGCCGCATCGCACACCTTCGCTGACTGCGCACGCACCTCGCAAAACAGACGAGGTTTTTATACTTGCTGGGTTTGCCATTGTGTTCTACCTTAAAACAACAGGGGGCAGTCAAAAGAAACTGACCGTAAAGTCAGACGGATAAAGAGAGAAGTAGAAAGTTTCCGGAACTACGTTATATCTTTAAGATCATTCAATATTTTTAAACTAATTATTTTTATAAATTATTCTAATGATTATAAGGATTTTTATAACCATTCAAGATTTTTTAAATCAAACTTTGATGCATCACTTGCTTTTGTTCATATCTCGGACAGTTTTACCTAATAAGTTTATTAAAATATTAATGACAATATAACATGGCCTTCTATACAAATATATTTTTTATTCTGATAAGAATAAAAAGTAAAAATTGTACACTTACCAAAAAATACAGATGTTTTTTTTTTTTAGATTTAGCCCACTCCACAATTTACACATTACTGTCTGGCTAGTTTCTGTCCTCTACCTATGCTAAAAAGGCAATAATGGTCCAACATTTTTGACCATCATCACCAATAAAGCCTAGCAAAATCGATATCAGTATATTGTAAACCGATTCAAATATTCCTTTCCAGTTATCTAAGAAACAATTTGTTCCTTATTTATAGTTTTGCTACTATTAATTTGTTTTAAATTCAAAATTTTAATATATACATCAGTGTAAAACCTAAAAATGGTGGACAAACATATTTCTGTAATTGTAAATCTGGGTCTCCACTTTTGCCATGGCCTCTTTTGGCTTTAACAAACTTCTCTCTGTTTTTTTTCATATTTTTTTATAAAAACTGTCCTCCTTTCCTACGGCTGTTGCAATTTCTAGCCAAGAATTATTGATCATCTTGTTATCTCTATGATCACGGATCATAAAGGTGTCTGTGCAGGCGTACCGTTTCAGACAAAATCTCTTCAAAGTGTTTCATATTCAATCAAATTTCATATTCAAATCTCAAAAAAAACCATGCACTCCGCCAGCTAAAATCATGCCACACGCACCCAAAGCGAACCTCCGCAAACACCGCGATGACGTCACATTCGCCGCATGCACTCAATCGAACTAGCGGATGTGTCGAGTATAAACCAGGCTTAACAATGTCAAGTGTGTTGTCCCTGTTTATATAAACAGGCAAAAAAAAAATGCTGTATAACAGAGATAATTACTTTTTAAACACACATTTAAACATAATTTTAATTTCTAATAACTGATGTCTTTTCTATAATGATGATAGCACAGTGTTCAGCTTAAAGGGCAATTTAAAGACTTAACTAGCCAACTGGGCAAGTTAGGTTAATTAGGCAAGTCAATGGACAACAGACAACTGAAAAAAACTAAATTCTTATGGGCGCTAATATTATTGACCTCACTGAAATTTGAAAAGTGGTTTTATTCCAGTCACGCTAAAAGAAATGAGACTTTTTCCATGAAAAAAAAAATGTAATAGGAAATACTGTGAAAATATTATTGCTCTGTTAAACATCATTTGAATAATATTTGGAAAAGAATAAAAATTGCACTTGCAAACCTTTGCCCTACTTATGCTTTAACTCAATTTCAGCACTAGGATTGTCTTCAAGTCAGACAATTGCTATGAAATTATATTTCACCATAAAAAATGGTTTACCTGTACAGATAAATTGACTGAATGAAGCTAATAAGCTTATGAAAATAAGACGCTTCAAACGTTACTCCAGTAAAGCCTGCTTGGAAAAGATTACATATCTCCATTCTGCTAGTCTAAGCCTCCGTTTCTTATACGGCCTTGACTTCCATGCAAAAAAAGCTGTAGTTTCATTGCAAAGCCGGTTTTTCTGAGCACTGGAGAAAGTCTGTGTGTGTGTGGGAGAGGTGTGGGTCTCGCAGAACCAGAGAAATACAAGCAGGTACAATGAAAAAAGACATTCATTACTCGGAGGGGTTGAGAAAGGATAAGTTGTGTGGGCTGCTCCACCCCCTTCACACGGCCTCATTTCTAGCTCTCGCATTCACCGACATTCAACGCCGGCTGCTTGCTTTTTCTTCTCCATCTCTGTTTCTGTTTCGTTTGCTGTCGTTTCTACATCTGCAATCGAATCTCGACTTATGTTTTTGCTGTAATATCATCTCGGGGCCCTGGCCTCCATGCATTCTGCTGTCAAAACACCCACACAGCTTGAAGACACTGTTCTCCCTTCTTCAAGAACCAAAAAAAAAGCATATTTTCACATCTTTAACCCCTCCCGCGTCTATTTCTCAAGTTATTATGGCACTGACATGACACTCATTTTCACCCCTAAACCAGAAAACGCAGATGAGGATTCAAGCCTTCCTAAAAATGACACAATTTCACTTGCATGCTAGAAATAACCTCTCCAGACTGAGAAAAGCACTCTTCATTTGCATTTAAGACAGTCAAAAAATGAAAGAAAGACTACATTCAATTATTTTTGCTGCTTGTTCACACTACTTATTTAAAACGAGCCAAATCAACACAATTCTTAAGTTGGACAACTTATTTGTTTTATGTTCAATCCACTTTAATTTTTTTAAACAATTATGTTAACTTAATCTATTTGTGTTGGGACAACATGAAGGATTTAGGTTATTTTATGCGTTTTTACAAATTTAAGTGGATTGAACATATAATAATTAAGTTGTCGCCAAAAAAACACAAAGAATTGTGTTGATTTGGCTTATTTTAAATGAGTAGTTTGAACAAATAGCAAACTTTTTTTAAGTGTATGTTTCAATCCACCCAATTTTTCAAGCGTATTTTGGAACATCACATCAAAAATGCTTAATGGTAACATCAGATCATTTACCGTCATTTGATTATAAAAATAAATGCGATGGAAAGGCATGTGTTGGTCTTTCTAAAAACGCCTTAGC